TGATGCCGGTGATGTGGAGGCCGTCCTTTGGGTCCAGCACCAGACTGGTCAGGTCGAGGTAGGAGCCGCTGGCAGAGAGCAGTTGGCTGATGTTCCACACGCAGTTGCCGGTGGCTTTCAGGTCGGTGACGCTGAGCACGTTGTAGAAATTGCTTTTTCCAGTGGGAATATCGATCACCTGCTTGGCGGTCGGGTCGCAGGGGGTTTCTGCGGATTCTAGAATCACAAATGGTGTCATTAGCATCATCAACATTATCAGTGCAAGAGTTTACCGGCGGACACGGCGAGTGCTAATCCGATGGCAAGTGCCAAAAAGTACGGCACTTTTTGGTGCCAATGCATCTTCATCGATGACTTGTGTGCAGGAATTGATTCTTCTCACCAGAAAGTTGATCTTCTTCTCCTTCTTCTTCGTCGTCGGTGACAGCTCTCGCAATGAGTGTCTGCTTGTCTGGTGGCGGATGATAAGCTGACCAGGAATGCGTGCGTGGTGCCTAGACGATTCACAGCGGTGGTGATCGTGGCGGTGGTGATGGTGACAAACCAAGAGAGGAGAAAGAGAAAGAGAAACACAAACAGCGGTGGCGGCTCAGCGAGGGGGTCGACTGAAGCGACAGTGCCTGGNGGCCACTTTGTCCTCATCTAGTGACGGCAAATTTAACTGCTCAATTTTGAAAACGATATTCTCTACTTTCAATTTATTTTTACCAAAAATCTAAACATTTTCTCTCAGTGCACTACTAAAAACACCAAATTCATTTAAAAATCAAAACGTTTTTTATGCTGAGCTGTACAGGAAGTGACGAGCCTAAAGTAATGATTTGGTGTTTTACAAAAAAGAGTGCTTTTGTGTGAATCAGCACATTAGTTTTGTTGTCAATTTTCTAAATTCGAATTTAGAATAGTTTTTGCTCAAATGTACAGCTGTGCTATAACTACGTGCAAAAATAGGCTTTTGAAAACAGTTTCAAGTTTAGTGATTGTTTTTTCCAGACAACTTTTCCAAACTAGACAAGAGCAGACCAGTCAACCAATGCAACCAGTGAAGAAGGTGCAGCTGGCATCGAATGACGTCAAGCTGCTGGCGATGAAGGGCTTCACCATTGGCGATGCACTCAACAGGTAACAACCTTACTTTCTCTACCAAATCTAAATCTTAAATTCTCGTTTCCAGCGGTTCTTTTGCCTGTGTCTGCAAGGCCACCTACAAAGGCAAGCCGGCGGCTGTGAAGGTGATCGACCTGGAGAAGACCTCCGATGACTACCGCCTCAAGTTTCTGCCCCGTGAGCTGTACACCATCAAGAAGCTGAAGCACCGTTTTCTCATTCAAGTCATCGACATCTACGT